TTGATTGAAGACAAAGAATATGTTTGCAACTGAGTACTTGCAACTTGAGTAACTTGGGTTTCTCAAGTGGTACACACGAGATCCACATGCTACAGCTCTGAAAAAGCAGAATATTTAGATGAAGCTGCAATGCGGAAAGACCTCGCTTATTAATTTTGTTCAGCGTAAGGTGCCCATGAGAACAAACCACTGTGGGATAACTCGAACATTTATTGAAAAAGGAATATTTTGAAAATGCGGTTATGATCATAGTGGCCACTGAAATGACAGACACACTGAAGCCAATCTAAGGTGGAGTGGTTACATTGCTAACAAACTCCGCAACCAGATGTGACCTATCGGAACTACTCAAAATCTGTTTGGGTATTTCTTTTCAAGGTCAGTCGTGATGGTGATCGAATTTTAAAAAAAATCTGCCCTGCTGTAGCAGTTCCCATAGGCTGTCACAAATTCTGGATGAATTATCGACTGTCAAAACAAAACTTTGTAGCTTTCTAAATATCTGTTTTATCTGCTTTTTACACTGTTTATCCCAAAAGGATCTTCGAGTAGTGGTCATTTCATTGATCGAGACATTCACTTTGAATTTGAGGATGATTCATTCGAACAAATGGGAAGTTTGGTGACCTTGACCTTTATTTCCGGATGCGTTTTCATGATCTGAGAGTGACTGCTTTACCGTGTGTTATGCGAACTACTCACAAGGTTGCTGAAAAGTCTTCGAGCTGGTTTTGCTCTCCCACTTCGGGCTCATCGGGTAGGTGCGATACCCCTCGAGTTTCCATCCACCTCAACTTCTGTTTCAACCCAAATTTTACGGGATTGCTGAGGGACCATTTTGGTGGATAAAGAAATATTGTCCGAGAATTCCTGTAAAACTTGCGTTTGAGCAGAATACCCGGTTGACAGAATCCCGCGAACTTCGCCCTAACTGGAAGGACAACACAAATTGTGGACCGCCAAATGGTTTTCGTACGAGTAGTTTCATGAGTAGTTTCATCCCAGAAGTATGGTGCTGATGAACATTCCCTCGCCATAATCTCAGCCCTACATGCCATCGGTTGTGATATCGACTTTTTGGTTCACCAACCGATGATCGTCTCTTATCGAGGGATCTGCTTTCCTTAATCCGCTAAGGCTGTTATTGGACTG